AGCACAAACCCCCCTGTGGGTTTCTAATTTTAAAAAACTTTTGTTACCTTCTTTTTTCCCTGGAACAACACAGACGAGTTTTCTGTTGGGCAGGTAACCTTTAAACCAGGGGAGAACCCCTCCTCCAACATCCATTCTGGCAAGTTTTACTAAAGATTACATGTCGGTTGGCTTTCATCAAAAGTGGATTTAAAGGGCAAGGAACGTAGTGTATGAGCTCCAGTGCAGAGGAGAAAGGTGGTAAAAGCAATGATGCACACTCCTTCCCTGCCCTTAAGCCAAAGCAAAACCCGGGGGGGGCAAAAATTCCTAATTCTTTTGCCTAAGAAAAGATTAAGAACATCCTTTCGAAAAGTTTTTAAAACCCAAACCCGCTAGTAAGGGAATTGGGGGAAAAGAGTTTTTTTTTGATTGGGCTTCGGAATGGGAATAATGAGGTATTGGTCCCTGATTTAGGGAGCTCCCCCGTGACAAAACTCATTTTTTATAATTCAATAAAGGATTAAACCCGGTACTCGACACGCAATCTGGTATGTTGTAAGAATAACCAAACCTCAAACCAGGCGAGGGGGTTGCAATGTTCGAAGTTTAAAAATCATTGTAATATATGAAAATTTTTTTAAGACTTAATTTATTATTAAAGGAAAATCCAAAATTTGGAAAATTTTGAGTTTGGGAGGAGGTTTTAGAGGGGGCTCTAAAAGTTTTTGAATATGCTCACCCAAAGGGCATTGTTAAAAGTCCACAGAGGTACACCATAGGAATTATACCAAATCAAACACATGGCAACAAAAAAATCATGGTTTATCAGGGGAAACATTTTAAAACGTTTCCCTTTTAAATTCCCCCCCAGGGGGTGGTTAGCCCCTTGGGGAAAAGATCAACGCTATATCTGTTACAAAAGGAAGACTCCGCCCGGCAGAAGTAATGTTGAAGCCCCGGCACAGAAAAAGGGGCACCTCCCTAGATAGGGGTGGGTTTTAAGGTCACCATAATTTGCCCCCATTATCATTAAATTTTTAAGAGTGACAAAAGTTTGATTTTCCCTTTCGATTACCAAATTGGGGAGTTTCCAATGCTTTTGTGTCTTGCATTATTAAACCCCAATAATTTGGGGTAGGTTTTAGGGCGAGCCCCAATTTTTGGGGTCCAATAAATTTAAATTAAACAGCCCGGACGTAACAAGTTAAATATGTTGAGAGCAAATTTCCCAAAAATAAATTTCCCCAACACTGTGAACCCGTAGCCCCCCTGTTTTTTTTATGTGCAAGAATTGATGGGGGAAGTGATTTTTTAATAAATAGAACACAAAAAATTTGTGGATTTAGGGGTTTTATGCAACAAACGATGGCAATTTAGGGGGGTTGGGGAAATTTTTTAGGGAAATCTGCACTCTTTTAGACACACAAAAAAATGGGTTCAAATGGTTCTTTATTTAGCAGGTCAGAAAATCTTTTTTTTAAGTGAAAGCAATTTCCCAAATTAAAATGGATAGTTTATACGATTTGGGTTCCCTTTAAAAGTCCAGGGGGTAGTATTCAAAATTTTTCAGCAAATGAAAAAACTTAAATAAATAACAAAAAGACATAATCAATATCAATATCATCAGTATTATCCTTATCCATGAGTCTCCTAAGTGCGCTTCCATTAGTGAGACCACTTGGGAGTCTTTGTTTACAGAGGTCACTGCGCTCTTTGTCTGTGAATGTATGGAAGGTGACACTATCTCTCGCACTCACCTCTCCGCTTTTATTACACTCATCACTATCATCACATGTATCACTTCCCTCATCATTATGACCAGTGATACATACACCATTATCAACAACCGGGTCATCTCCACACTCAGTCCGATCATGCAATTGAATCTGACAAACAGTGCTTCTCTGTCGAGGAGAACGCCTATTGAGTATCTTTGTTTTATCAGTAGAGATTATCAACCCCAGGTCCTGACACGAGGCTAGTACATGATTAAGAATGTTTTGGGTGTTGGAGAATCCGGTGGTGTGAATCATTATATCATCAGCAAAACTAATCATATAATGATGGGGCTGACTAGGCATAGCATTAAGTAAGGCATTAATTAGAATATTGAACAGTGTGGGACTGAGCACACCTCCCTGTGGTGTTCCTAATTCAAAGTCTTTAGTTACACTTTTATGTCCCTGGAACAACACAGAAGACTTTCTGTTGGACAGGTAGCCTTTAATCCTGCGGAGAAGCCATCCTCCAACATCCATTCTGGCAAGTTCACTAATGATTACATGTCGGTTGGCTACATCGAAAGCGGATTTAAGGTCAAGGAAGATAGTGTATGAGCTGTCAGTGTGTAGGGTGAGAAAGGTGACTATACAATGATGCACGCTCCTTCCATGCATAAAACCATGCAACCGGGGAGACAAAAATTGTTTGATTCTGTACATGAGACGATTAAGAATCATTCTCTCAAATGTTTTTCACAAGCAGCTAGTAAGAGATATTGGCGAAATCCATTTTGTTGATTGGGCTTAGGAATTGGAATGATGAGGCTGTTGGTCCAAGATTGAGGGAGCTCCCCAGTTACATAGCTCATGTTATATAATTCAAGTAAAGGATTAGCTGGTACTCGACACAGCAATCTGATTATGTTGTAAGTAATAACATCCTCACCAGGGCGACGTGGAGTTTGCCCTTAGTTAATGCTGCATCAAGTTCATAATTAGTGAAAGGAATGTTGCAATCATCTGCCTTGCTGAGCATAAAGCAAACAAGTCTTCCCTTGCATCATATTTGTCATTTAATTTTGCCTGTGTGTACTGGGAAGATTGTCATAGCTAGATGTAGCAGCCCAAACACTAACTCATTCGCCCTATGTAAGGGATGAGGGTATGCGATCTGCCCAGTTCTGTTCCCCTTTTTTATTATAAACAAGGGGGAAGCGCTAAACCCGGAGGATTATACAGCGCCTGGGGGGGATGTGGAAGGCATTCAGGCTTAATTCGGGAACTGGAGCACAGATCCAATTCCCTAAATCAAGAGCCCCTCACCAACATCAAGGAACCTTCCTTGAGGGGTCTGTTCCCCTTAATTCTATTTATGTCCCTCCATGCCCGGCTAAGTGGAGTGTGAGCATTGAGACCGTTGACAAATTTTTCCCAGTCTGTTTGCCGCAGCTCTGTCATACGCTCTCTGGCAGCAGCAAGGGCATTTGAAAGAGCCTCAGCATTCCAGGGGTACGATGTTTTCTATAGGCTAGGCCTAGTCTGCGAGCAGTCCGTTTCAGTGTACGAAGTTTAGAATCATTGTAATAGATATTATTATTATTATAATCAAAAAGAAGCGCTAAGCCACAAGGACTATACAGCTCATTGTAATATGAAATTATTAGATCTTTTTTCCTGTCTTGTGTGTGAAATCTGAGCATAACACCTTTTCTACTTTGGTTCCCTAGTAACCGCGATTCTTTTATTTCCGACACTGTACATTAACATTAGGTGGTCAGTATGATCTGGAGAGTTGTATCTTTGCAGTTTGAATGGTTTAATTCGCTGGGGAAGAGTGGAGTGTTAATTACTACTGCATCAAATAACTATGTCTTGCTCTGCCTTATCATCTTGGTTAGCAAAATAATTGTTCAATTGGGAATCCATGTTTATTTTCCAGTCCTTGGCGGCATTATCAATCTTCGTGTTTAGGAAAGTTATTTGATCTGTGTGGCTGGCTATGACTGATTGGAAGATCTTGCCAAAATTAGTCATGCCAGTTGATGTTAGCTGTTGTTCAAGGTTGTTGATCTTTTTCTCAAGGTGAATAACTTAGATTCATGTTTTGTTATTGTTGCACGGTGAGACATATTTTCAGCACGAAGATTCAAGTTATCCGCCGTTAGGGGGGTGATGAAGTGTTTTTAAAAGGTCAGGATCATTAGTCACACCTGATAGCATATCAGCTGGGTTAAATCCTGTGAAGGTAGTAAGGTAGAGAGGGAGTCAGTCAGGGTTTGTGTTGTAGCGTCGCCTGGGTTGGTGGGTGACGGTGAGTCGGTCATGTTTGGTGTTGTTGATGCGTCGCTCTGGGTTGTAAGGGGGTGGATGATGCACCGGCGTCCTGCTGGGTCGTCTTATGGAATAGTCGATTTCTAGGTGCTGCCTTGCTGTTCTTAGTGATGTTTCTTCTATTAGTTGGTCTCATAGTAGTGCAGGAGTTGCTGTGGTTAGATGAAGACACTAAGATAGTTGAGAGCTTGGGGTAGGTAGTCGTCTGGCAGCGGGGTTGTGCTTGGAGTTTGTGGGGCAGTCTTCGTTTCACTCGGTAATTTTTCGGTTTGTAGGTATCACTGTTGATTATCTTGGGTCATGCTGGGTTCTACGTACGTTAGTGCAGTTATGATTGCAATTAGGCCATCATTGAAGCGTTGGTGGGCTCTGCAGGTGAGAAAAAATGACAGTACTTGCTACCTCTGCTGCCGCCACTGAAGTGGCAATAACACTGTGTGTGTGTGTGTAAGATGCTAAGTCATAGCTATTGTAAAGACGTAAGTAATCATCTGACTTATTTTTGGGTTATTCTAGGTTCTCTACACATATGCTGCTATGTAAGATAATCTATGTAACTGTATTTATGTATACCAGAATAAACTTACTATCATTATGTTTGTTACTTATAAAAATGACTGGCGTCATAAAGCCTGATATCTCCCTCAAGGTTAAACAGTGATGCCTTCCTGTTTCGTGTTTTATCATATCTTTTATCATTTCTGAATCACAACAAAAAAATGCAGATATTCAACATATAAGATAGAACATCGAATTCGGTACTGAAGGAAACTATTTAATTATATTAAAAAAACATTGCAACAGCAAATGGCTTCTGAAGCTCCACGGGATGATGACGCCGTGCTCATACAAGGATGCCATTTATTGCCATCAGTATTCAGTTTGTCACAGATTTCGTATACATACTCGAACTTCCATAGTTTATGTACAGCACATGTTGAACCATCTCATTTAGCAAGTTCAACCTGCATAATATATGTACCCAATATATCAGTTATGATAGGATAACTAGACCTTCCTAAGGAGATTGTGTCGCCGTTGGCAGTGGCGAAGCTGAGTCGAGAAGCATCGTGGGTGTTTAGTTCCTCCGTTACAAGCACAGTAATCCACCGCCTCCCGATGGCCCAACTAAATTGTTTATATAGTCGTTGACATAATCTACTTATGGCGTAAGCTTTACGTCAACTACATAAAAAGGTACGCTAGGCAATAATGCAATTTACTGTTTTTGTGACTAAACTAATTTACTAAGAGATAAGTGTTAAGTCTGCGAACGTAACCAGTTGTGTGCATGAGATATTTATCTTATAACGTTCTCACAGTAAGTGATGTTAGCAGATATATACAGACCTATGCAACAAATACACGACCGAGGTAACCAATACATGATGAAAGACGTAATAAATGCATGAGAAACAAGGTGACAAATCTCTGAGAAACAAGGTGATAAATGTATGAGAAACAAGGTGACAAATATATAAGAAACAAGGTGACAAATGTATGAGAAACAAGGTGACAAATATATGAGAAACAAGATGAAAAATATATAAGAAACAAGGTGACAAATGTATGAGAAACAAGGTGACAAATGTGCAAGAAAGAAGGTGACAAATGTATAAGAAACAAGGTGACAAATGTATGAGAAACAAGATGACAAATGTATAAGAAACAAGGTGACGAATGTATGAGAAACAAGGTGACAAATATATAAGAAACAAGGTGACAAATGTATGAGAAACAAGGTGACAAATGTATGAGAAACAAGGTGACGAATGTATGAGAAACAAGGTGACAAATGTATGAGAAACAAGGTGACAAATGTATGAGAAACAAGGTGACGAATGTATGAGAAACAAGGTGACAAATGTATTTATTTATTTATTTATTTATTTATTTAAAAATTTGAGCACACATACAGAGGTACAACAAATACAGGTAAGAGCAGTATGCCAAAGCCACTTATACTATGCATAGCATTACGGGCAGGCTTAAAATTAACTTAAGATTAACTAAGCAATGATGAAATCAGTGATAAAACATTAATGTAAACAGGTTACTATAAAGCACAAGTGAGTATTACAAAGACAGGTCATATGGTTGTATGCATTGTTGTACTTTCAGTAGAATGGAGTATTCTGTTAGGTAGTGTATTTAAAAAATAATAAAGTTAGATTGGGTATTAAGTTTAACATTTATGTGATATAATTGTGAGAAACATTTAAGATATACAATTTATAAGGTTCAGTTATTCAGTATTTATTTGGTTTTGGGTGAGTAAGTGATCTTTGAGAAGAGACTTGAATTTATAAACAGGTAGTGTTTCTTTTATATTTACAGGTAATGAATTCCAGATTTTAGGGCCTTTTATGTGCATTGAGTTTTTACATAGTGTGAGAGACAAGGTATGAGACAAGGTATGAGAAAGTATGAGAAACAAAGTGACAAATATATAAGAAACAAGGTGACGAATGTATAAGAAACAAGGTGACGAATGTATGAGAAACAAGGTGACGAATGTATAAGAAACAAGGTGACGAATGTATGAGAAACAAGGTGACAAATGTATGAGAAACAAGGTGACGAATGTATAAGAAACAAGGTGACGAATGTATGAGAAACAAGGTGACAAATATATAAGAAACAAGGTGACGAATGTATAAGAAACAAGGTGACGAATGTATAAGAAACAAGGTGACGAATGTATAAGAAACAAGGTGACGAATGTATGAGAAACAAGGTGACAAATGTATGAGAAACAAGGTGACAAATGTATGAGAAACAAGGTGACAAACATATGAGAAACAAGGTGACAAATGTATGAGGAACAAGGTGACAAATGTATGAGAAACAAGGTGACAAATATATGAGAAACAAGGTGGCAAATGTATGAGAAACAAGGTGACAAATATATGAGAAACAAGGTGACAAACATATGAGAAACAAAGTGACAAACATATGAGAAACAAGGTGGCAAATGTATGAGAAACAAGGTGACAAATGTATGAGAAACAAGGTGACAAATGTATGAGAAACAAGGTGACAAACATATGAGAAACAAGGTGACAAACATATGAGAAACAAGGTGGCAAATATATAAGAAACAAGGTGACAAGTATGAGAAACAAGGTGACAAATGTATGAGAAACAAGGTGACGAATGTATGAGAAACAAGGTGACGAATGTATGAGAAACAAGGTGACAAATATATAAGAAACAAGGTGACAAGTATGAGAAACAAGGTTACAAATGTATGAGAAACAAGGTGACAAACATATGAGAAACAAGGTGGCAATGTATAAGAAACAAGGTGACAAATATATAAGAAACAAGGTGACAAGTATGAGAAACAAGGTGACAAATGTATAAGAAACAAGGTGACAAGTATGAGAAACAAGGTGACAAATGTATGAGAAACAAGGTGACGAATGTATGAGAAACAAGGTGACAAATATATAAGAAACAAGGTGACAAGTATGAGAAACAAGGTTACAAATGTATGAGAAACAAGGTGACAAACATATGAGAAACAAGGTGGCAATGTATAAGAAACAAGGTGACAAATATATAAGAAACAAGGTGACAAGTATGAGAAACAAGGTGACAAATGTATAAGAAACAAGGTGACAAGTATGAGAAACAAGGTGACAAGTATGAGAAACAAGGTGACAAATGTATGAGAAACAAGGTGACAAACATATGAGAAACAAGGTGGCAAATGTATAAGAAACAAGGTGACAAATATATAAGAAACAAGGTGACGAATGTATGAGAAACAAGGTGACGAATGTATAAGAAACAAGGTGGCAAATGTATGAGAAACAAGGTGACAAATATATGAGAAACAAGGTGACGAATGTATGAGAAACAAGGTGACAAATATATGAGAAACAAGGTGACGAATGTATGAGAAACAAGGTGACGAATGTATAAGAAACAAGGTGGCAAATGTATGAGAAACAAGGTGACAAATATATAAGAAACAAGGTGACAAGTATGAGAAACAAGGTGACAAATGTATGAGAAACAAGGTGACGAATGTATGAGAAACAAGGTGATGAATGTATGAGAAACAAGGTGACAAATGTATGAGAAACAAGGTGACAAATGTATGAGAAACAAGGTGGCAAATGTATAAGAAACAAGGTGACAAATGTATGAGAAACAAGGTGGCAAATGTATAAGAAACAAGGTGACAAATGTATGAGAAACAAGGTGACAAATGTATGAGAAACAAGGTGACGAATGTATGAGAAACAAGGCGACAAACATATGAGAAACAAGGCGACAAATATATGAGAAACAAGGTGACAAGTATGAGAAACAAGGTGACAAATGTATGAGAAACAAGGCGACAAACATATGAGAAACAAGGCGACAAATATATAAGAAACAAGGTGACAAGTATGAGAAACAAGGTGACAAATGTATGAGAAACAAGGTGACGAATGTATGAGAAACAAGGTGACAAATATATAAGAAACAAGGTGACGAATGTATGAGAAACAAGGTGACGAATGTATAAGAAACAAGGTGACGAATGTATGAGAAACAAGGTGACGAATGTATAAGAAACAAGGTGGCAAATATATGAGAAACAATTCAATTCAATTCAATTCAAAGTTTATTCTCTATAAGGATTACAATGCTGTGTTTACAGAAATTTGGTTATTGTTTGGTTTAACATGTAGTAAAATTGAGATTACAGAGTGTACCACTAGAACGCTTAGCATGGCTAGGCATTTCGGGCATACTTAGTTTTATTCTTAAATGTAAAATATTACAAATTATGAGGTAAGTTGGTATTATGGCTAAGTGACTAAATACTATTTTGTGAGTTTAGCAGTGTGAATGCTTTTGTTTAGGCACAGTATATAGTTTCAGTATTGGAGTATCACAGGATTCATTATATTAAGACTGAGATTAATATTTCTGTTTATGGTCAAATGAGTGTGCGAGTGTAAGTGTGAACCACAGGTGGTATTCGTGAAGTTAGTTGACGGGGTGTATCAGGGAGATAAGATGTTTTCTAATGGTAGTTTTGAAGGTGATGAATGTGTCTGCAGTTCTAGAGTTCTCAGGTAGGGTATTCCAGATTTTATGGGCCTTTGACATACATTGAATTTTTGTAAAGGTTAGTCGGACACGGGGAATGTCGTAGAGATGTTTGTTTCTGGTGTTATGCCTGTGGGTTCTGTCACAACTATCAAGAAAGCGTTTAAGGTCAAGGTTGATATTAGAGTTTAAGGCCCTGTAGATGTAGATTGCACAGTAGTAAGTGTGGATGTACTGAACTGGGAGTAAGTTTAGATCTTTGAAGAGTGGGGGGGTGTGCTGCCAGGGATGGGATTTAGTGATTATTCTTACTGCAGCTTTTTGTTGGGTTATTATTGGCTTTAGGTGTGTTGCTGCAGTTGATCCCCAAGCACAAATAGCATAGGTGAGGTATGGATAAATAAGTGAGTGGTATAGTGTGAGAAGGGCATTTTGCGGCACGTAGTATCAGTATCGTATCTTGGAGAGGATCCCAACCATTTTGGATACTTTTTTGGCTATATGCTGGATATGGGTGCTGAAATTCAGGTTATTGTCAAGGTATAAGCCTAAGAATTTTCCCCCATTATTTCTGGTAATTAGAGTGTTGTCAATCTTAATGTTAATTTGTGCATCTCCTGCTCTGCTACCAAACATAATATAGTAAGTTTTGTCAGTGTTAAGCGTAAGTTTGTTGGGTGTCATCCAAGTCGATATTTTAATCAGCTCCTCATTCACAATGGTGTTAAGGGTGGCAAGATTAGGATGAGAGATGACATAAGTCGTGTCATCAGCAAAGAGAATGGGTTTTAGGTGTTGGGATACGTTTGGTAGGTCATTGATGTATATGAGGAAGAGCAGGGGACCAAGGACACTTCCCTGCGGAAACTCCAGTATCAAGTGGCCGTGTTGCTGATGCTGTGTCTTTAATGGTGACGTACTGATACCTATTAGTAATGTAAGATTTGAAATAACCAAGCGCATGGCCTCTTATACCGTAGTGGTCAAGTTTGTGGAGTAGGATTTCGTGGTTTACTGTGTCAAAAGCTTTTCTTAGGTCAATAAAAATTCCTAGTGGATATTCCTTATTTTCCAGTGCTGTGTAAAGCAGATCTAGCATTTTTATGATTGCATCATTAGTGCTTTTATTTTTCCTGAATCCAAAC